TCTGGGAGTTGAAGTCCACTCATCTTAAAGTGGCCAAGTTTGGACAACACTGAACTAAAGGAACCTCATGGCCTTGCCCAATTTTACAGTTCCAACACTCATTCCCTTGCATGGCATAGCCAACTATGTTGGCTTCCAGGCTGCTTTTGGACTTTCAAGAGCAAATGGCTGCTGTGTAAGGGTCTGCCACAGGAGGCAGAGTTATACCCATTTATCAGAGGGCAAGGGGGCAAGGCTGTTTCCCCACACCTTCTCAGGAATCCCCTTGGCCGTCCTTCCCAGAAAAAGCAAGCACTGGGCTGCAGTCACTCCCCCTTTTTTATTGGTGGGACGTAGAGGCATTCTTGGAAATCAACATGATGCTATAGACTTGTGCTTCGTTTTCCGTCATGCCAGCTTACCTTTTCTTTTTAGAAAAAGATTGTAAGGAACATTAAAGGCAGCTGCAGTCAGATACAACAGGAAGCCTGCAAGGCAAGCCATTTGTTGCTCGCAGCAGCATGTCCCTAGTCCTGCAGTGATCAAATGCATTTAATGAAAGAAGTCGCCAAAAGCCTACAAACAGCCATCACGTTCCCCAGAATCCATTGCTTATATGACATACTTACCCACCGTTAGCTTAACATGATATCAGCCCTTTGAGGTAGGCCAAGTCAGGAAACAGACACCACAAGGATTACCGGGCAGTGCTTCTCAACCTTGGGAACTTTAAGATGGGTAGACTTCAACTCCCAGAATTCCCCAGCCAGCAGGATTGAAAAAACTTGGCTACCCTCCAGAAAAGTGTGGGACAGCAAGGGTTGGACCAGCGTAGCACCTGAGCGGAAAACCACTAGAGGCTGGGTTGGAAAGCTGAAAAGGTTCCCCCAAGGAGCCCCCGTAAACCACTGCCATATTGTTGTCAAGAAGATTACATGGACATGGCCAGAAAGTCACTAGGAGTCAGGCTGAACTGAAAGGACCCTATTGTTACGCACTGCGAGAAGGAAAGGGCTGCAGCAGAGCAGAGTGGGTGGGACCCGCAGCCTTCCAAAGCTTTAGGTGCCCTCTCCCCACTAGGTCTTCCCAAAAGTAATGCTGAAGTATCTCTAATGTGACAGGAAATGGTTCAGTACGCAGAAAGCAACTACATTCATGGCATTTCACTTAAATTGTGTTTTTATTTCCCTTCCCTTCACACTTATTGTGGGGAATGCAGCCCAGGCGTGTTACTGAAGAACAGATGAGCGCTTGGACAGTGGCGTTCGGAGAGCATAGGCAGGCTGCACCCTGCTTAGATGATTTCCCACTTTCCCACTAAAGGAAGAATTTTCCTATTTTTATTGTTGTGTTTCATATAACACCACATGACTCTATTGGCAGTATTGATAATTCTATTATTGCAATTATTTCTAACTGTGCATCTCTAGAGATATAGAGTAGCATGCAAAAATGCCTTCCTTTTGGGGTGAGGAAAGGACTCTGTTCTCCCTCCCCTTTAGGAAATTAGCTAAGAGAAACCTTCCATATTGCATGTGCTGGAATACAGAATAGGAAAAAAAAATACTTGTATTTGGAACTTGAGAATAAAGATCTGCAATGGTCTCTATCAGGGAATGGAGGGGAAATTCAGCACTATTTATAAACCACCACCTTACAGGACATGACTACTACTACCTCTTCCTCCAATCCTTTTCATCAGCAGATGATGAGGTTCCCCGCTATTGCAGAGATTAAATTCCAGCCATTTTGCTGGCAGCATGGACTTTCATGACTCATTCCAGGATCTGCATCTTCCCACAGAATTGTGTTAGGCACCATCGTCTCTCTCCTCCACTGCAACTGCAAACTGCCACTTTAGGGGACTACTTTTGTGCTTGGATGGAGATCCAGCAGAGTTGCCCTTTGGAAACTGAGGATTCTAGGCTGTAAGTCAGGCTGTCTTTCTGGGTTAAGGAATCTCACCAAGGTTAAGATGATTCAAAATAAAGGAAGAAAGGACACCATAGGAAGTCTAAAGCTTCTTCTACAGGTTTATGGATATTTAAAAATTGCAACGTACAAGATGGGACACAGAATTTCCTAGGTTTCCAAAGCCAGACTGGGGGGATGTTTGTGTAGTAATTCTGTTCAGTTTTAAAATCTAGACATAATAGTCCTTTGGGGCTGGACTTTGAATGGCCACGTTTGTTACTTGCCTTCTTTTCTGTCTCTGGTTCTACATTCTTGGCATCTCGAAGTAGAACAGCCTACTCCATTTGCATAAATGGACAAAATGTAGGTGGTCTTCCAAAATAGCCTTCAAAACTTTCGCAATGCAACTGCATCCACAGAAGGAAGGTAGGAGTTGGAATAAGTTAATACAATAGCCTGCTGAAAAGTAATAACTGCTCCAGAACAGTTAGGGGTGAGAGATTAAGAGGAACACAGTTTAGCTGAAAGCCAGGATGGACAACGTTTGAGGGCCATGTTCCAAAACATACTGGGAATGGCAGGACTAACATTAAATTTAGTTTCATTTCTGTTTCCATATTCATTAAATTTAAATGTGTAGGTATGTATTGTATTCAAACTCTCTGGGTATGAATTCAGTCCTTTTCCCCTTTAACTTTAACATCTCTAATTGGTCAACCAATTCTGAAGAAGTCCAAGAGACACACCTACATTTTCAAAGGCTGCACACTGCCTAAGGTTTCTGGCTCTCTACTTCTAGTCTACAGCATACCCGATGCAACAGCAACAAAGGAGAAATAACATCATACCAAACTTGACACAAAATTCACATCCACTAACTTAGATTCACATTTGGAAGTAATCGCTATGATTGAAATGGAAAGATATTAGAAAAGGTCATACAACATGCTGTTCTGTGATTAACCCACATTTTTAAATTAACACCTATTCCTATTTACTCTGTGAGCTGCACAGTAGCAAACTTTCCACTCTAACCCCAGTTAGATAATTCTTTCCCCCTTTTGTCTTAGTTAGGTGCCCAATAGCTGTCAGCCCCTCAAGGTAGACCAGACTAGGACACCAGAGTTATGAATGCTAATACAGTGGTACCTCGGGTCACAAACGCTTCTGTTCACGATCAATTCGGGTCACGAACAGCACCATTCGCAAAATTTTGCTTCTGTCCGCGAACTCCGCATCGGGTGCCGAACAGGATCCACGGCCATTTTCCCTGCTGTGACACGTGGTCATGGCTTCCTGTACGGAGGGGGACTCTCCCTCCAAGCAGTAACCACCTCCCC